CATCCACGAGGCAAAAAGAAAGAAAAACACGACGAAGGAGGGTACCCAGTCAATTTTTCCGCATCATATAACGATAACAGGTATTCTCGTTGCAATAACCGCTGTGACGAAAGAAGGAGAGACAGGAAACGAGGAGAATTTGTTGTTCTAACTCCAGAGAATTGTGAAAACTGATCTCGCTCGTGCATCATACTTCTGTTCAATCGGGCCTTTCGTGCTTACCGAAATGAAATGTCGAACTCTAACCGTTCCTTTCAGGCCTGTCTTTATTTTTGTCTCGAAATGTCGTTTAAATTGTCCCAAAAATTGCGCGATATTTTCAAAGCTATGATCAAACTATGAATTTTTTATGAACTTTGTTCTGACGAGGATTTATTAGTAGGATGATATCTGCGATATCAGTAATATTATATCTATTGTTAGAAGAGATTGGGGCCGATTGTCATATAAGATTGATTGTGTTAAAAAAACTGATAATTCAATCAGTATATGGTACAGCATTTTTTTTTATTATAGATTACTGATTACTATAATATTAAAGTACTGTGCAAAATGCTGCAAAAGCGTCATATATATTACACTTATAATGACTTTTAAGAAAATAAAATTGATAAATTTTTCTTATTTCCTTTTTTAGCATTATATACCATTCGCGATTTTTTGTCACAGAAAATAATATACCTTAAATAATAATTTTTATTGCTATTAATTAATTATTATTGTAATAAAATTTATGAATATAATTTCTTTTACTAAAAACATCTATGCGAGGAAGATTGACCAAAATGAGTCGAAATTAGGTGACAGTTAATTTTAATCTTTTTAGACACATTTTTAGAGATTTTATATTTATGAATATAATATGTTACTTAGATATATTATATTTTTTCATTTTTCGTATAGAAACTATAGTAAAAAAAAAAAATTATGTACGTTTATGTTAAAAATAATTGTCTTAATCGATACTATAATTTCCTGAAATATACATAAACCACTACTAACATTAAAATAAAGACCATATTTTTTACATGTTTATCCATATAGAATATATTACTGCAACCCCCCCCCCCTCACCCCGGAACAATTAACTTCAAGCATGGGGCTAATTTCATTGCTTTATTTAAAATTAAATAACTTATTTGTATAATAATGTATTTAATATTTTTTTAATACTTAAAAAAGAGGGAGAGATGTAAACGTATTATAACGTATACAATGTTTCAAAATCGTACGTTTACTTTTTTCTAAAAATAATTATTCAAAAATTGACAACTAGCCCAGGTTTCTCTTGATTGATTTAATTATTTTCATCTCTCGCGTTTGTCTCTTAACTTAATTATTAAACCTTTATGAATACAATTTATAGGAATATCGGATTCATATGTATGTAAAAACAATAAAGATGTAAAAACTGTGCAAAATTGAAAATGTAAATATCAATCGTGAAACGCACTCTCGATTTAGATCAAATATAATAATAAAAAAAGTAATATTAATAACTTCTAAAACTTATCATTGTTTACAATAAAATAAAATCGAGTTAACAAAAAAAAGCAATTTCTATCAAATCTGAATAAAAGTTAAAAGAATTACATCAGTTTATACTTATTCCAAATAGAGCAAGAAAATATTGATATATCATTAATGGAGCGAGAATAAGTGGACAGTTTTTATTCTTCATTATATTCAATTTGCAAAGAAGCGTACCTATTGAAAAATAATGGTAATCGCCTGTCGAAAAGCGCAATCGTTATAATGCAATGATGATAAATCGTCGGACGCAAACGAACAATTAATCCCGCCAGTATAATAAATAAATGTACTCACAGTTCTGGATGTGCTGTCGCCATTTACCTACTGCTCCATCATTTCGGACATTTCCCATGCGGATGCTCATTCATTCCCGGCATAATTGCGAAGACGCAATCACAATTGTATACACCTTAGGTATAGAACATAAAAGTCATAATATCATCTCATACAGCACAGAAGCTTGCAGTAACATTGCTGCGATGTTTCCAATGGTATTGCAATGTTCATGGAACGTTGTAATATCGCTGGAATGACTGTACTGTATAGAGTATAAGATAAGTTATCATGACTTATTGTGCTGTTTGATTTTTTTCTTTTTCACCCTGAAAAGAAATAAATATTTGTTTGAATAGTTTTAAGTAAATATTTACTAAATATAAACGTATATCTATTTGATACAAAAATCATTAATTTGATTTAATTATAATTCTTTTATTGAGTAAATGTTTATTTAATGTTTATATATTATTTAAAAAAATACGTATTAAGATTTAGTAAATTTTTTAAATGCAGTGAAAGAACGTAGAACGAACGTTGGAAAGCTCCAGTCGCAAATTGTTACGTAAACAATTAAATATACGTTATGTTGGTTTGTTACGTACTATTATGGTGACATGAATGGGTTTGGAAAAGTACCTATAATGAAAGACCTTTCTACCTACAAACTTAAACAGCTTTGCCGTACTCCAATTAACGCGACACTATAATCTCCCCTCTCGTTCGGTTTAACATACAAAAGATTTGGTGGATATACTAATAATTAATTGTAGATCAATACGCGATGGTAAATCGATGTACACTGCGGCTTTAGTTACTCAGTATATCCTGAGTTAGACATAAATTGTAGATTGTGGTGGGTTCTATTTTGTTTAGATGAAATCCACGGATTTGATGAAACGTAATTAATTTGCCTCGAGATTAATCGACATTAACGTTCGCAACAAACACATGCGTTTCTTCGATAATCGCGATTTCCTTCGATATCACTGATAAAGTTCGGAAAATTTAAGATATAAATTATAAACGGTATTACATTCAAAAAATGAATTAGAATTATTCCTTGCTTAATAATTTTGTCAGTCTTTAATGCTTTCTAACTAATGTTTTCAAGATCATAATTATATTTGATATGACATTTTTTAAATGAGAATAATGTAATTAATATAATCATAAGGTGTAGTTAGAATTTTGTTTAAAGGGAGGCTAAATTAGAGTTAAAACTTCTAAAGTAGAAAGAGTAGGGAAAATAATCGAATAAAATCGACTATTAGACCTGTTTTGTTTTACATTATTATTTTTATTTAATTACTGATAGATAAATCATAAAATACATATTTAATTTATTAATTAATTTTATTTTTCTCTTAAAATTGTAAATTAATTCTTTGAATTAAAAGAACTTAAATCTAGTCATCTTAGAGTTTTAGAAAATCTTTCTATAATTTTCTCTTTCTCCTTTATCAAAATTAACATGTTATAAATGCTTATTAAGCACAATCTATGAATATATAATCTTTTTGTAATTATTTTTGTTCTTTTTTTAATTTATGGAAGTCCCTTCTGTTTTTTCTTCACTACACCCATAAATATAGAGATTAATAAAAATAATTTTATCCTGTCACATATATATATATTTACATTATAATATTTTTAATAGATACCTTGTTCACTGTTGTGTCATTGTTGAAACGCTACTGCTTTCATCCGAAGTTAGCACAATACGAAACAAAACGTAGCGATTCGCTGTCGTTCCATCCAGTCGCTACATTCAGAGTGTCGAAAAAGCCAGTTCATCGATTTATAATCGCTACAGTTCGCGCGTATGCACAGCACACAAAAACAACGGGTAAAAAATTCACGATTACCGAGAGTAAATGAGATTAATTATCCGACGGACTACGTGTGAGCGGCGTATCGCGCGTCACTCTCCATCGTGAGAGATGCATCGTGTGCCTAATTAAGCATCGAGAACATCGTTCGAACAGCCGAGCGCGTTTGATGTATTAATCGCATTAAGACACGCGGCAATGATCGGCCGTCCATCGTTATTATGTTCGAGTTATGTTAAGCGAGCAACACGTAGCGGTCGCAATTTTATTACATGCTCACGCGTCACTGGCGCGTCACGCGGCTCAACGGTTTTTCGTCTGACTAGCACGCCGCGCGGGTGTCACCTTCAGCGTCAGTCAACTGTTGTCAGTCAGTCTGATCGTCGACTGTGTTTCGTTCCATTGCGAGATGACGACGCGACGGGATCGTATCACGTTTACCTGATTGAGACTCAACTCCGTGAACGTGTGCCCGGAACGACGTTGAATCGAGCGACACACGAACGTCGTGCGGCACATTACATTAGCATCGTGTTAGTTGCGTGTACGATCGTACGTAACGCGCGGCGCGGTCGGCGGTCTCTCTCTCTCTCTCTCTCTCTCTCTCTCTCTCTCTCTCTCTCTGCGTTTAATTTCTCCGAGATACCGAGTTGGCGTCCGCTATCGCCGCATTGTTTATCGGACGTTTCATCGTTGCACGCTTGTCGACGCGCGCCGGGAACGTCGGAGTAAGATGTCAATTAGATGGCAATTAAACGATATTTGTTCCGCAGCTGTCGGATCCCTGATGCGTTTTCCGTTAGATTCGGAATGTGACGTCACCGCCGGCGCTTTGGTATGAAGTTGACGCGATTCAAATTTTTCCTGCGCAGAAACGTATCGAGTGCGCGTAACGAACATGGAACTGATGGAACGTTATCGAACGCCAGAGGCGAATAATCGTTGCGTTTCATTTCGCTTTGTTTGTTTATTTCAAAATGAGTCGCCCGTACAGTAAGTTTCGGTAAATGATTGTCAGTAATTAGCCGAAATGACCATAATCAACTGTATTTTTCCTCTATTAATTTGTATACGTGTGTGTATATACGCTCGGAACAATGGAACAGTTTTGGAAAAGCTGTGTACTGATTGGTAAACATTTATATATTTACTCATCTCTCATATTCTCTATTGTAATCATTTACTTATTTCTAATGATTTAGCATTATAATAATCGTACTGACGAATATAAACATTATTTGTCATAGTTCTGTCATTAAATGATTATATAAATATTAACAAATTATTATTATTATTAACAATGATTTATTTCACACATTTTTGATAATAAATTTAAAAATTATTTAAATTTGTTTTCAGATTAACTTACGGCCTTATCACCACAACCCCTTTCGACATCATTATGGTGAGTAATGAATTAATGTGAAACTGAGAGCAAAACGTTGTAGTTTTGTCCGCCAAAAAATTAGTTATTTTAAATTATTAGAAAGAATTAAAGAGAGAATTAAAAATCTAAAGATGAGTACTACATTAACTTCTCGGAGTTAATTAAAATATATAACACAGTTACTGACGTCGTATAAAATCCATTTAATTAATCAAATTAAAATTAATTAAATTTAATTAAATAGTATTTATTTATATATTCATAAGACTTATTATATATTCATAAAGTATAATTCGCAAACAATTTGACTGTACTTCATAAAATAAAGTTAACTACAAACGTTTTGATTCTAGATTTGAATCTTCTTCAATGTGTAATTGGCAAGATCGATTACAAGTTTTCAGTTTGTATATACTCACAGATGTGTACGAACATTGTTCCAACGTTTGTAATGTTACTGCAATGTAGGAACGTTGCAATGTTGCTGCAGTATTGTTGATCTGTACTGCATGGGTATTAACTGAAATCTTGTATTTTCAATCTTGCTAACCGCACTGAATATATTTTAATAATTTAAATATGCAGATGTCACATAAAAAATATAATTGAATGGGTTTAATAGACCTTCCGTCAACTCTGGAGGATTAATATTTCGGCATTAGTTCTATCTACATATTTAAGATGTGATGTACAGAATATTCCAAAACTTTTATGAATCCTCGTACTTATAACATTTATTATTATTTGAGTTATAAAGTTATGTTCTTTATTACAATTTAACGTAGAGATTATATGTTACTGAAGCTCGAAATGGTGTATTGTTAACTGTAGCAAACTATTACAGTGTATTCCCTATTTACGAGTTTTTTTCCCTTTTTTCATACTTTTTCTATTCTGGCTTTGTATGTATACATTCAATTCACTAACGATAGTTGAACCACAACAATCATTCACGGAAATACAAAAGTGTACAATGGCGAGCATTCGGTTTTTTTTATTTTGACGTTCTATTGTCACAATATCGGTTTGTCTTGTCGATTATATTTTGTGTTCGAATACGATACAGAAACTCTCAGAAAATAGGAAACATACAATAGTTTAGTATTCACATTTTATATTATTTCAAGTGTAATTTTAAAAGGATCAAGTATCAAGATTCAAGATTATATACATGTTCATAAGAATACATTACATACAATATACATAATAATACGAAACTTAAATATATATATAATAAAAATCCAAATCTAGTAAAAAATATATTACGGAAATATAAAAGCAAGTAGAGTGTCAGAGAAAAACAAGATAGGTATATGGAATTAACATATGTATGAATGTTTGAATCAGACTAAAACAAAAATAAAATTAAGTGTTAATTAATATAGTTATATTATGGAAATTATTTTAGGAAATATTGATAAAGTTAAAACGTTAATAATATGTTATTCGAGCAAATATTAAGTCGTTATCCGAAAACTATTTTTTACGGCCGGAGAACGACTAATTACAGCTGTTTATTATTAAAAAATTTCCAATATAATTACTATATTTTTTATAATGTAAATTGTTATAATATATGATTTTGATTTTAACAATATTTAAAATTAATAATCTTTGCATAAAGTAGGTATTTAAAATCTAGCATCTATTAAATTTAATTATTATTCCTGATAAATTAGTCTATTGATTAATATATTATGTTTACTATTACTTTGCGACTCATTATGCTTGTCGAGTGGGTGAATTGTAAGTAGTAAGTTTTACTTAATATTTTAACATGGAAAGGCAAATTTAATGTAGTTTAATTTTAATTAAATTTAATTTTAATTTAATTGAAACCTACATCAACTGATTAGTATACGTTTCTCGCGCGCGTATCTTTTGTAAAAAGAAGTCTGTGGACATTCTGTATACGTGGCACGCAAGCGTTTGTATATCATTCGTCTCATCAGCCTGATTGGGTCGTTTCAATACATGCAAAACGAATGTCGCACGTTTTGATCAGAGTCCATGTGATTGTCCAATGCGAAATCCGCAATGTTGGTACCCGCCATTTTCATGTCATCCAACTTCCTACACGCGTTGTATTTACGTGTAAACCGCGATGGGTATATTATGCTTATGCATTTTACAGCTCTCTCTCTCTCTCTCTCTCTCTCTCTCTCTCTCTCTCTCTCTCTCTCTTTCTGTGGTCTCGTGTAATCTCCATGTTCTCGTACAGGTTGGTCAGAAATAGTCGGCAATCGATAGTAACGATAGGGATAGAAAAGAGAGTGCCGGGGAGGGTCGTGTAATCTGATGCTGTAATCCGTTAGCTATTCTGAAAAGCCGATCACATAATAATTATGTCGCCATTTGTTGCAAGCTTTATATGAATGCATAGTGAATTTCACACACACACACACACACACACACACACACACACACACACACACACACACACACACACA